CAGCAGCAGCAGCAGCAGCAGCAGCAGCAGCAGCAGCAGCAGCAGATGGTTAGCTGTGCCAGTGAAGCAGACGCACGCCATGATGAGGTATATAGGCAGCTGCTGAGCAACGGCTGCAGGCAAACAGCAGCAGCAGCAGCAGAAGCAGCAGCAGCATCTGTCCCGGCTCTTACCCAGCAGCAGCAGCAGCAGCAGCAACGGCTGCTGCTGCAGCAGCAGCAGCAGCAGCAGCAGCAGTCTTTGGTCATCGAAGGGACCTTCACTGCTAGCTGCTGCCCCTCACCAGCAGGCAGCAGCCCGAGGAGCCCTCTTTCTATAAACAAAGCAGCAGCAGCAGCAGCAGCAGCAGCAGCAGCAGCAACAGCAGCAACAGCAGCAGCAGCATCTGCTGGAGCAGCGCAAAAGTCGAAGCTGCAGCAGCAGCAGCAGCAGCAACAGCAGCAGCAACGCCAGTGGCAGCAGCAGCTAGCACACGAAACGGAAAGGCTGTCTCCTAGACCCCCAGCAGCAGCAGCAGCAGCAACAAAAGCGCAGCAGCAGCAGCAGCAGCAGCAGCAGCAGATAGATACACCTCTCTCTACTTGCTCTCGCCAGCTAGTTCTGGATTCCGTGCTGCGGCAGCAGCAGCAGCAGCAGCAGCAGCAGCTAGAGCAGCAGCGCAACCAGCAGCTGCTGCAGCAGCAGCAACAGAAGCTAGAAGAAATCCAAAAGCAGCAGCAGCAGCAGCAGCAGCAGCAGCAGCAGCTAGCAGCAAATGCATGCTCAAGGCCGCCGGGCCCCGCCTCTCTTCTCTTAGCAGAATGCAGGCCCCCCCTGCGGCAGCAGCAGCAGCAGCAGCAGCAGCAGCAGCGGTATTTCCAGCATCAGCAGCAGCACCAGCTCTGCCCTACGTACTGCTCTTACCCGCTGCCGCAGCAGCAGCTGCTGCCGCAGCCGCAGCAGCAGCTGCAGCAGCAGCAGCAGCAGCAGCAACCAATGATGAAAGACAATGCCCCTTTTTTAGCTGCAGCAGCACCAACAGCAGCA